AATTATATTTCTATATTTTATGGTTACAGGATATTTGAAGAAAAACATGTTACTAACATATTAGTCTCAGAAAATTGTATATCAATATTAGAAAAAATAATAAATAAAGCTATACTATGTTTAATAAGAACTTTCGAAATACAAGAATAAAAAACAAATATTTTTATTTAAATTCATTATATTTATTAATAAATTTAAAATATAAATTCAAAGATATAATTAAAAATTGTATTTTTAATACAAAAAAATAATTTTTTTTATTTTTTAAAAAATTTATACGTAATTTTTCTATATTTTTTCTATATTTTTTTTATACACAATACATGTAAATTTTAAATATAATATAAATATAACAAACAATAATATAACAAGCTAATATTTTGTAAAAAATGCATAATAATGAAATATTAATTTAAAATATTACTGTTTGATTTTAGTAAATAATTTTTTCCCGCGACCTTTAGATCCAGATTTTTTACCATTTGTACTTGATTTTTCTTCAAATAGAGAAATTTTTTCATGAAATGCATTATATAACATTTGTGCTTCATTTTTATTTCCAAGTAATTCAGTAAATTCTTCCTAAAATATTAAAATATATTATTCTATATTTTTAATTTATATTCTTAATAAATTTAAATTATGATTTTATACGACATACTTTAGAAAGTTTATTAAGATGATCTAATGATTGCCCTTTACTTAATATTAAATGTAAATTTTTAGTAGTAACTCCAGGTAATTTTGAAACAAAATCTTGAATACGAGAATTATATTTATCTACTGGTATTTCTTTATTTTCTTCAATTCCAATCTGTGCAGCTTTTATTGGATCTGGTTGATCTTTTCCCCCCTACAAATTTATATTTAAGACAAAATAAATTTAAAGTACTATTTAAAATCTTTAAATTTTAATTATATTACCTTTAATTCCTCAAATAATTGAGCTGTTGCATGAGGACCAGGTGACCATACAAGTTTTAAACGAGGAAAATGTAAAGTCAAAAGTTGAAGTTTTGAAGTAATGAACATATTTTGAACATCTTTGCTAGCATAGTAATAACCCTATAATTAAAAATTTTTAATGAATTTTATAAAAATCATTTAATAAATTAGAAAATTTTAATAATTAGCATTTTATGATATATAAAAATATATGTACTTGAAAACAAAATGGTTTATTTGGATCAAATTCTATTAAAAGCATTGGTTTGTTATAATACCGTGTCATAGCAATAGCTTGATTATACAATCTTCCACTATTTAAGGAACCAATTAAATCAGAGACACTTTTTCTCTCAACGCAAATGTCTGGCGATAAAATATAATCTCCCACCTAAAAAATCTGATTGTTATTTGATGTAGTTAAAATTACATTCTTTAAATCATTTAAATATTTAAATTTTTTACTTGTAAAGTTACTGGTTCAATTTTCATGCCTCGTGTATATAGTATAGCGGGTAATTCACTTCGAAATTCTCTCATATCAACTATAACAGTATTAGGAGCTTCAGATATTTTTGGCAATCCACCTTTACGTGTATTCATTTCACTGTCTTCATCCGATTGTATTGCAAGACTTAAACAATCTTCAGTTTTTCCATCTTGATCTTCAGGAATAACCATTGTCTGAAATAAAAAAAATACATAATATAATTCATATGTATATGAAAATTCATTTGAAATATATAATATACATACAGTTTTACTATTAATTAATGCATGAAATGCTTCTTTTTCTCGCCTTAACGAAGTAAGGTATTCTTGTTCTTCCACAGAACCTCCATAAATTAAGAAATATACCTTTAAATCTATTGATGGATTATTATTTTGATAAACCTATTGATAGAATATAAATTTATATAGATATAAATTAACAATTAATTTTTTTTAATGTTATACATACTTCAATTTGTCGTATAGCAGACAAATCTGCTACATACATAATAATGTTACTTGGCATATGTTCTGTTAAAGCACGTTGCAATGCCATTGGATCACCATTTTTTTTTAAAGATTGTATCAGAATAATAGGTATATTTTCATTTACATTTGTTAAATCTAAATTTGCAATCTAATAATAATAATTTATATTGAATTGCATTAATTTTAGATATATTATACATATAATAAAGTAATATAATATATAATAAAATTTTACTTGTGAGCATTCTTCAAATAAAGTTTGATGTTTGATTTCTTCTTTGATTAGTGGATCAGATTGATTTTCTTCTTTAACTTTTTGAGATAATGTTAATACATAAGTATCTTGTTCTTCATTATTATCTTCAATTGTAGATGTACTTTCTTTTTCCACACTTGTTTCACTTTTTTTTAAAATAAAAAAAATGATAAGAATTAAAGTGTTTTTCCATATATTTATATTTATTCCTTTTGAATAAAAGATTTTATTTTTAATATACCTTATGTTTTGTATTTCTTTATGAGAAAGTTTTTTCATTGCTTCATAAAGTAAATATTCATTGGCACCCATAATTAAATAATTTCTTAATTGATAACAAATATTACGATCATGTACCAAAATAAGGATTTTTTCAGAATTACTTTTTTTTTTATTATCATTCTGAATTTCAAGTAATACTTCTGTTAGTGCTGTCCATTTTGGAGTACTTTCAGGTTTCAATTCTATATAAAAATCAATTTTTACATTATAAAATTTCGAATATATGTATCATAAATATATTAAAAATATATAATTAAAAATATAATAAATATAATACATATTTTACATATATACATATATATATTATAATCATAAATCTTTTTTAACAAGAATTCAAACGAACTCACCATTTTTTTCATTATAAACTCTTTCTTTTGCATTTTTAAATAAAGTATCTACAGAATCTAACATCAACCAACCACTATTTTTCATAGCATATTCCATAGTACGTAAGCGATTTAACATTGAATAAAATGACACACTATCTTCATATGTTAAAGATCTTAAAAAATTATATTTTTATTTTTTTATGTAGAAAATAAATTATTTATATTTATTTTTTGATTTCTGAAATACTTACGCAAGAAGAGCACGTAATGTTTTTAAATCAGATAACAATTGCTTTGAAGTAGAACTAAGTTGATGCCAAATAGGATCTAATTGCAACTGTAATTGCTTATGAAACTTTTTTGTTATTGCATTTTCAACATTTAAATCATCTAAATCTAACTATAAAAATAAGATGTAAATGAATTTTTATCTTTTTATCTTTTTTATCTTTTTTTTTTTTAATTGAATATTTTTTTTTTAATAAAACATACTCACATATTTATTAAGTCTTTTTAATTCTTTTACAATATAATTCATTATATCAAGTAAAGAAATTTGAATGTTTAACATTTTAGGTGTAATTTTTACATGTAGTTCGATAACATCAGGCTAAAAAAATTTGTTGACATAATTCTTTATAGTGTAATTTATAATATATTATAATTTTAATAATTTTGAAATGTTATTACCTTATGTGTTTCTAAACTACTATTTATAAGAGTATGAAAACGTGGCCATAAATATAATTTTTTAACAAACAAAGCTTTCATTACTCGTTCTACTTGCATAAATCCAACAGTAAATGCCAATGCTGAATTAGTGAAGGCTTTAATAAAACCAGTCTATAAGAATTTATAAAATTAAAAAGAAATATTTTTTGTAATAAGAATTCATTTTTATTTTATTTTATATTTTTTTTATATTTACTTTATTATTTTGTCTATATAAACGAAGAGCGAATGCTTCTTGATATGAATTTAAAATATTATGTGCTCTATATACAAGAATTCCAGTAACTAAATGTAATGGAATTCTTTTTTTTAATAAATCTACTACAAGAATTGGACCTGACATAAATAATACACCACCTTCCAGATACATTACTTCCCTACAAATATTAAGAAATAATAAAACAAAAATTATATTAAAATGTGAAAATTTCCAAACAGAAAATATTGTATACCTTTCATCAGAAGAACATTCAGAAGTTACAACACGAGGTAATTGTTTTAATCCATAATTTTTTAAAAGATCAATAAAATATTGTTCATCGTGATTTGTAGTTCCTAAAACTATAATTAAGTTTCCAGGATCTATATAAGCTCTTAATATATTTGCAAATATTGTTTCTATACCAAGTCCCCTAAAATATAAGAAATATAAATAAAATATTATTTTATATATATAATACATAAATAATACAATAATTACTTTGCTATAATAACTAATCCATCTTCATGGAGTATTTCCAAAAATATTTGGTTTTCATATTCCAACATGATTAATTAAAGAAATTATTATATCATTATATCAAAACACATATGTTAAAATAATATATGAAAAAGTAAATCTAACAAATACCAAGTAATATATGCAGAGAATGATGATTCTTGTTCCTGAAATAATAAAATTAATTATATTAAAAATTATATAAAAAATTATAATTTTTATATATTAATATTAATATAAATTATTGTTTTTAATATTTTTGTATTTTAATATATACCTTATTATTATAAATTTCTGAATCTTTATTATATGATATATTTTCTGTATCTATTGTTTGATATACTAAAAGAATGTATTTACTATTTTCATGTGATGGATGTCCATAAATTCCTATACTAACTGGTCTTTTAAAACTTGAAAAAAATATTGTTATTAAGATTTAAATGTAGATTAATTTTTTTATAGAAATTTATGTTTAATGTACCTATCTGGAATAAGAATAGTATCTTCTCCACATGTAGCAGATTGAAGACAATATTGATCTGGTTCATAAGTTGGTTTTGTTATTGTTTGTGAAGCATATAAATCTGCATCTCCAGTACTATGAAGTATAAAATAAAATTAAAAATTATATCAATAAAAAATTATATTTCTTTTTTTTATTTATAATTAGATTTTATACAAGATATAAATGATTAATTAATATTATATTATTTTAATAATTTACTTACTCAGATTTTAATATTATTTTAATAAAACCTTCATAAGCTAAACTATAATATTTGTATGAACCTCCTGGAACTTCATCAATTATATAATGTAATAATTTATCTTCATGTGATAATACATAGGATATTTGCTAAAATAAAATAATTTTGTTATTTTAAAGAATTCCAAATTATATATATATATAAATAAACATGCTTACCAAAATAAGAAAAATAAAAATATTCCTCATAGTATAATGAATTTTAACATGATCAACATGCAATAAGTTTTATATTAATCTGTAAAAATTTCATGAACATTTTTTTTAAATAATTTTTTTCACATATAATATTTGTATAAAATTAAAGATAATAGTTAATAAAATTATAATTTATAATTTTATAAAATATATATAGATAATATAGATTTTATAAAATCACATAATATATATAATTATATTAAAAAAATTATAATTTATATATTTTAAATATTTTAAATTAATATTCTTTTGTAAATTTTATTTTATATACCTTTGGTTTTGTAAAAGATATTTGAGGTTAATATATTTCAAAATGATTTTTTCTAAATATTAATATTTCTTGTAAAAATAACATTATGTATATCTTTCTAAATAAATTATAGAATATTTTGTAAATGATAAAAAATTTATTTATGTTATGTACACAATTTTGTAATTAAAATTTCATAAAATTGCATTTATCAAATAAAGTTGCAGATGTCACTTATAATAAAAATTCACGTAAGTGAATTTTTTAATTTTTTTTATTTAAATTTAAATAATAACATATGCTATTTAAATTTGCTTAAATTAAACTATGCATGTATTGATAGTCATATATATTTTTCATTATTTTTATTTTTCTTTTTTCTAAAAAAATATAATTTGCTTTTATATATTAAACAATTATATATTAATCAAAATAATTGCAAATATTTTTATATATTAATAATATATTTTTTTATATTTCTTATAAGATACAAAGTTAAAAACAAACATTGATATACAATATAAGACATAAAAAAAGATAATTTTTGTTTAAAATTAAATAAGTTAATGTAATTTTTATCCAATATAATATTTATAACTTTAAAAATTTTAGATTGTTTTATAAAAAGATAATTTTCTTAAATTTAAAAATTTGTTAGTTGACATCTAGCAATTCTAAATATATCAACATAGAAATTAATACATTCAAGATTAAATTAATACATTAAATTAATAATTACAAATTTTTTTAAATAATTTTATAAAG